ATTACATTTTCAAACGATATCGGTCAAATTTCACGCAGTTGACAAAAACGAGATTGCATTTTTTTTTTAATTTTATATAATAACACAGTCAGTGTAATAAGTATTCGTAAAGGAACCATTTATTTGAAATGATATGCATATATTGTACATGAGATGTGCGACAGATGATAGCTGGTAGTCGTGGTTTCCCATTCATGTTGGCGCGCAATCGAGCGATTAACGTTGCATCGGGGAGTGTGCACGCCAGGGTAGTTAGGGGCACACCGAGCACTCGACTTAACGATGATGACGTCAACGACGTCCTTGGAGCACTTAGGCGCGAGTCGCGACGTATCCGCGCGCGTAACTGGTTATGAAAACTGCAATCGCGAATAGCACTGGTGGAAAAACTGTCGAGGAGCGTTTAAGGATGACGGTGTCTCGAGCTCGACTTCATCTCGGTTCGCGGAGAACTTGGAAACGCGGCTCGAGTGCTTTCTCCGAGTCGTCCAACATTCAACTATCAACGGAAATTCGAGACTCGGCGTAGCTCCTATTAGAAGAATTCCATCGGGTGCGACCAATTGTTCGCTGGATCTTAAACGACGAATGCACTTTACCGAGGAAAGTCAAAGGTGTTTCGTTCGTTTCCTCTGGTTTTTTTTCCTCGTTGCTTTCAAGCCATGAAAAGACTGTCCGATTTCGCGACAGGTTTATTTACAATTCGTTTTACATAGCTGTCCTCGTTTCTCCTCGAAACGCGTTCCACGAAACGTTTATCACGAATGGATTTTCGTGTTATTACTTTCCGGAACTGACAGCCACTCGGAATCCAACTTTATTTCCACGAGATTCCGTCAGGATTTTACTTACCTTCTTCCCCTCCCGCTAGTACTTTTTCTAATTTTTCTTCTCTCTTTTTATGGCACATCCGATAGACGAGCCGATTTTTTTGTTTTCTCCTTGGAAAGACGTCGCTGTTTGTCACGTTACTTGCACGACTGGCTACCGCCAGTGATTCTCGCATTCTGAAACGCGACGATGGTTCGGACAAGGATACAAACGAAATTTCGCAAATTATTTCGTAGAGCGAGAACGGGGTTGCGGTCGTTATCGCAATTTGGTATATCGACATTACCGAGATGTACCGTAACGTGGCTCTTTTAGGTTAAATAGCAGTGGACGAATACGTCCGATGGTAGATATTTTCATTACTGGAATAAAGCAGGAATATACGTTACGCGGAGAACACGGTGGTGAGATTATCCCGGATAATTGCGGACATTATGAAATTCCGTATTACATACCGGAGAATTGTAGATTATGGCGCGGAGCTGGGACGCGCATGCATCAGATAGAAGACGAGGATAATCCGGAAATTCGAATTTGGTTGGACCGTCTCGTTGAGGTTTGTCACGGAAATGGTATTCTCTGTGCGATAGAAACTCTGTTTCTATCCGTTTACGCGGTCAACTAGAATACCATTAGCAAATTATAAAAGCGAAATGTTTTAGCTAGGATTATTCTGCGTTCGTATCACGTATACTACATTCGTACTACGTATCTACGATTCCTCTCAATCTAGAGTTACATTGTCGCGCGACAACGTCGTAAACTGGCTTTCTTGGACAGCTGCAACCCACATTTGTCTAGATCCAACGATGACATTTAATTTGTTGCTTGCAACGATTCGACGGTTAAAAAACTGGGTAATCGTCGGAAACATTGAAATTTTCGTTTAAATACAAAGCGGAAAGCGACGCGAACACCCTCGTCGCGAATTCAGACGACCGCGTTAAATTTCAGGCGTCGCGAAGGGGCGTCGCTGAGTCGCCATTAAAATGCCGCGCCGTTGCGTCGTCTATTTGTCTCTGCGTGTCCATCTGGCTGTCTATCGGCGCGCAACGGTGTCGAAATGACAGCAGCCGCTGACAGATCAGCTCCAGTTGCGGCGAGCAAAAATATGGCGGTGACATTCCGGCCAGCCGCAAACGTGTGCCACCCCTGCTGAAATTGTGATGTAAACCGAGCCAGCCCGCGCTCTGCCACCGCGACGCGATAAACGAGGATAATGAAAGTGTTGCGCGAGTTCCGTGCGTCGCGTCACCGAGTTTATTAAAAAAAATAAAAAAATAGAAAACGAGAGAAAAAAAGTTGACCACCGCTTTGTCGGTCGTTTGACGCGTGATTGTCGTTAACCGGCAAGGTATTTTTAATAACACCTATGGGCAAGAATTGTGGGTCAGCAGAATGAAAATGGACAACTTTCCGCTTACCGTAATATGCGACACAGACAACTTATTTTACGTTCAGAGGGAAGCAAATGAGTTTAATTGGTTTTGAAGTTTTAAAAATGGTTGTTCAGCCGTGGATTTTAAATTTCGAGTAGCTCTCGACACCTCCGCCAATCGAACCAAACAATCGAACGTGCCGAATTTCATCTAAACCGTTGACACTTGGCACGGCTACTTTATCCTGTCTACTTTGCGGCGATTACCTTGCGTCGCGTCGCGTCGCGTCGGTCGAAAATTTCTTTAATTAACGCGAGGCGCGCTACGTTAGTGAAATTCGCGAACTCGAGTTTGCACGTCGAGAATCCAATTTGAAATTAATTTTTTCGCTCGCTCGACCTACTCGACGCGCTCGATTAACGGAAGAACCAATTACGCGAGCTCCTACTAATAAAATCTCCTTTGAAATTCCACAACCACGGATCGGTTGCGAGTTCTGCTCGTTTCGGGCAGCCAATTATCGTGGTACCGTCGCGATGACTTTCGCATCGAATCTCGTATAGCTTCCGTGAGACTCGAAATGCAGCCGAGTTTGTTAAATTATCGAATAGATGTTTGCAAACCGGAGAACGGACATAGTAAGCTTGACATGCGCACGATCCTCGCGAATACGGTATTACGTTCGATTTGTTTCGAAAAGGATAACGATGCTACAAGTAGACGATCCTTTTCAAGATGCGCGCCGCGTACTCTCGAAATCGGATTCGAGTCGAAAATATTCTTTTATTCGGTGAAAAAACTTGAGCGTACGATAGGTCGTCGAGCCTCGATGTAGCATACGTAGTTATAGTTAGCGCACGCTTTGTCCTTGAAAATAATGCTCGTTACCCTTGAGTACTATGGATCGCGACTTTGGATGCATCGGGTGGTAACGTTGGAAAAAATTTGCACGCACGGAACGAGCGAAAGACGGAAGCCTCGTGGAACGCATTTGCCAGATTAAAACGTCATTGGAGTGCATCGTGTTGCCTGTAAATATGCTTGGCGAAGAACGAGTAAGCCGGCCAGAGATAGAGGGAGAGAACGAGCCTCGGATGAAATTGGATACGCGATTTCATGCGAACCCAAACTAGAGAAGCGTTTCGCCAAGATTGTACGCTGATGCATCGCGAGCATCGGAAGAAAGATGGTTCGAAGGAATAATCAGGGAAGCTCGCGTAATCATTTGGCGACGATCGAGTAGTCTCCGAGCGCAATCTAACTCGGACTGCACCTACGTGGCTCCGCCCTTTAAATCCGCGCACGTGATGCATCCGACTAACGACCCACTCGGGGAGCCAAAACGTGTCTCTTGAATTAAGCTCACCGCTCGCCCATACATTTCAAAGGGGATCCGGAATTACCTCGACGCGATGAATAATTCAGATAACGATATATATTTGTTCGAAGAATTTTTATCCATGGACGGAGAACCCGGCCGAAGTTGCTCGATTCCTCCTAGCGAGTTCTGTTCCTATACATTTTATGCTCCCAAAACAGATCGAAACAGATTCGTCGAAACGATAGCGAGCTGTCTACGCGAAACGCATTCCACGTAAAAAGAACTCGTCGACGAGTTCCCATTGGACTAACGGTAGTATAATTAAATTCCGCGAACGGATCTTTTTCACGGATTGTCGCATTTATCGTGCTTTCGGCTCGCAAGAATCGACTCGTACGACACGAAAGGTGTCGGTGTCTCCTGGCAGAAAAATGTTAGGTCAGCTCCCCGGGGAAACGAAGAATCGAACAAAGGACGACGCGCTTTTCGAAAAGCTTCTCTGCGTCGATTCTTCTCGATTCGCGTTCTTCCTCCTACCGGTAGATCATTTTCAATTTAATTCTCAAGTTTTTCTACGAATTCTGCTACTCTCATAACTCGAAAGAGTCTTTGAAACTTGCAGGGATACACGATGGTTGATTAATGGACTTGTTGCCGCGACCTATGCACGTCCCGACACCGACGGATCAAAATCAGTGAGAGGAAACCTGCTGGAATAACAACGCTTCCCCGGAAATACGATCGATTAATTGAAGTTGTCGAGCTTCGTGATTAGCTGCTTGTCGTTGTCGTTGTTTAATCGTTTTTTGATTTGCCCGTCGTTCGATCGAATCGTCGATTAAGTAGAGTAGTTGTCGACTCCCTATTCTCCTATTTATATTTTTTTTTATTCTCGAACCTTCGCAATATAACTACTCGCAATTCGATAGCGTAGAAATTGTTCGACAGGTTATACATTTTTCTTAGCTGCTGTATAATTGTAAATGTATTCGAATGCTCGGTAAATCCAGCAACCGATCATTTTTCTTCCGACATGTTACATGTATCGTATCGTATCGTATCGTATCGTATCGTATCGTATCGTATCGTATCGTATC